GGGGGGGGGGGGGGGGGGGGGGGAGCGGGGAACCCTATTTAGTAATATTAACCATGTTGCAAAAAGTTTATTAAACAGAAAGGAAAAAATAAGAGTATTTGGGACCTAAATAGTCATTTTTCCAAAGATCAGAACTAAAAAACAGTAACTAACACACATTCCCAAGGAGAAGGAAAAAAAAATCAAAACTTTTGTTTACCAACTTTCCTCCTTTGCCTGGAAGCACTATGTTAAAAGGAAATGATAAATGCTAATCATTCTAAATTCCATTTGGGGATTTTTTTTGAGTGCAGCATTTTATTTAGCCGTCACATTAATTTTTACAATAATTACAGTGCCTCAAACGATTTTTTTCCTATAATTATCGCCTTCACAATTTCATTCTAATATACTTTACTTTCCTACAATGCATTAATTAGTAGACTACGCCACTGAATCAAATTAAATCTGTGCAAAGTTAGTTAAACAGAAGATTTCTATTGTAAACACAAGCCAATATAAATGTATATACTTTACAACATTAAAAGGAAACCACTGACCCTGTGCCATCTACCTATAACTACATTGCATTGTCCTGTGGAAGGTAAGTTCGGAAGTTAACTTTGTTCCCAAGCCACTGGAATAAAGGTCACTGAAGAGGTAAATGCAATATGCACATTACTCTTGCAGTTCCCATTGCCTTAAGATATATGGAAGCAAACATGTTAAAATGGAACCAGCTATAAATTATGGTCAAATGATTTTTTTTAGTTCGATGGGGGGGGGAAAGCAAAACTCTGTAACTGTTCCTCACCAGACAAGAGCCTTAGATCTTGTACTTCGGCCTTTGGTTTTGTTTCCTTCAGGTGAATTAGAAGCATTTGCCTTATGAGTTTTCTTATGATGTTCAAGATAAGTCTTTTTGGCAAATGCCTTTCCACATTTATTGCATCTGTGAAGAGAAAAGTTTTTTGTGACTTTTACTTCAATCCCGACATCAGCTACTTCATACTTTTTACTGGGAGAGTTAGAAGTGCCATCATGTTTTGGATCACTGTGTTTTGCTTCGTCCCTCGAAGGGCCTCTTTTTGCCACTTTATTTAGAACAAAATCAATGGGCTTTTTTATAGCTCTGATCTCTAAACTGGCTGTTATTTTCCCAAGATAGCGAGATGACTTTTTATGAACCACAGTTATATGTCGTATCACATCACGTTTCCGACGAGTTTCATAAGTGCAAAGAGGACACTTGTAGAATTTAACATAAATGTTATTTCCATCTGTGTGCAACTCAATGTGTTTAGTCAAGTTCTGTTTGGAAGTAAACTGACGTTTACAAAGTTTACAGTAAAGTTGCTTAAAGTCAAAGCCAGCTGAAAGTTTTGGTTTCCTGGTTTTTTGCTGGCCACCTGCAGCCGACGGACTAGTTGATTTAGGGCTTTCAGAGTCTTGTTTAACTTTATTTTTCTGTGCTGCCGGTGTGTTCTTTTTTTCATTTGAATGATTTGTTCCCTTTAATTCATTCTGTGGAGAATGGGTAATGGAAGGGGGTGATGATTCTACAGAATCTGCCGGTTCAACTTTAACTTTTATTTCTGAACCGTTGGCAGTATTATTAGGGACCTTCTCTCTTTTAGAGTTTGTTCCAGAAAGAGTTATCTTGTGGACAATTTGCATATGTCTTTTAAGCATTATTTGTGAACTATATTTCCTCTTGCAAAGGAGGCATTTGCATGCAGTTAAATTGTATTCAGCCTTTGAAGACGACTTTTGTTTTCGAGTCTTAAAAGATTTTTTAGGAGAAACAGAATCCAGGAACAAAGGTTGCCCAGGCTTTGTTGCTATATCAGGAGTAATTGAATCCCTCCTTAGTCCTCTATGAACTTCATCAAAATGCCTCCTTACATTCGCTTTTGTAGCAAATGATTTACAACATACTGGACAACTCCTACTTAATGGAACTAGAACATTCTTACCGCGTCCTTTAGAGGACTGGTTTGGATTCTTTCGTGTTTCAATGTACTTTTTTAGTTCTTCCATCTTTTTCTTGTGCACTTTTCGAATGTGACGACGAACACCTCGTCTAGAATTGAATTCTTTTCTACAAAGACAACATATCAACTGGTGACCAAAATCAGAATTGTCAGAAGTTTCCAAGTCAGCCTGTGATTCCTGAGGTTGTTCATCAGATGCCGGTGTCACTTCATCTGCAGCAATCTCAACAGGAGGGGGCTCTACAGTTTCCACCTCTGTATCTGTAACTGGTACTGTTTTAGACTGCTCAGTGCTAGTTTCCTGTATTGGAACTTCGGTTTGTTCAGGAGTACTGCTTGACTCAGTGACTTCAGTGGGATTATCAGTCCTTGAAATATACTGAAATACTGCATTCTGATTAGTTTCTATGGGTTCTAGCTTAATAATATATTCTCGCTTGTCCACACTTGGATATATGGCTTCTAGGAGATCATTTATGGCTTGACTTTGCTTATCATTCACATCAGGAAGGTCTGTTAAGGAAAAAACAACATTTTAATCTGAAATAATTAGCCTGCCCTAGCCCTCTAATATTTTAAAATATATTATGAACCTCAACCTTAAAATTTATTACATTATTGCTTTGTATTTATTCTTATAAGAGCATTATCTACTTTTCAGTATTTTATAAAGATAAAAACTGGTATTAACTAAACTAAAATTTCCGTTCATTTAAATTTTCATCATGGGGCCAGCCCAGTGGTGCACTGCTACAGTGCGCTGCTTGGGAGCGCAGCGGCACTCCCGCCGAGGGTTCGGATCCCACATACAGACCGGCCGCTCACTGGCTGAGCGAGGTGCGGGTGCAACACAGAGGGTTGCAATCCGTTGCCGGTCACGAAAAAAGACAAAAAGGGAAAAAATAAAAATAAAAATAAATAAATTTTCATCATGTTAAGGAATAGGTAAAATGTAAAGAGCTACTTCTGCTTCTAAGTTCACGAAAAAAGACAAAAAGGGAAAAAATAAAAATAAAAAAAAATAAATTTTCATCATGTTAAGGAATAGGTAAAATGTAAAGAGCTACTTCTGCTTCTAAGTGCCCTTATATAAAATACTCGTACATAAGCATGTGGGTGTCCTAAACAATAAAAATAATATTTCATATTTTTAGTCTGAAAGTTTTAGACTGGCAACTCAAAGTTCTCATAACCCAGGATGGATAAAACATCATAAAGAATGTTACTACATAAATAAAAATGTTTTTTTAGAAAACATAACAGCATTCCTATCAACATAAACCATAATAAACAATCTAGTCAAATTGTATGAGGGCATTTGAACATCTCATGGAAATGAAAAAGAAAGATTGGTAAGCAAATACATAAACTTGAATGGCACAATGTATAGAAATATTTGCTAAATTCAGTCTGATTACATGTCTCCTTAATGTGACACACTTTTACTAAAACAAATTATTAAAAACTACAGATTTATTCCAAAAAGAGTAGTTCTATTTACTTGTATAATAATTACATTATATATTGTATTGTATATTATATATATTATGTTTTATATATTAATATTATTTACTTTTATACTAATTATATCCTTTATAAGCAATCACATTGTAACAGAATTGTCTATCACTGGTTGTTTCCACACACGACTCTAAAATCTAGCTACAAATAGTATACTCATCTTTCTTTTTAAAATGAATAAAGTAGTGCCTATAAGGATAATACTTCCACAAAAGTATTTCTAGAATGAGTACTGCCAAGAGTACACAATAATCTAGCAATCCATTAATCTATTTCACTCTATAAGTTAACTCTACAACTAAAAAAATAACAAATAACCACCAAAAAATGAACAAACTTTCTACTAGTATTTTAATTAAAAGGTTAGATTTAAAACTAATCTCTATAGACTGACTTTTAATTTACATCTCAATGATAAAAAGTAGCAAAATCAAACAGAAGTAGGAAAAGTTTCCAGATAAATATCAAATTTTTGTTTCATCTATGCTCTATAATGTACTTTAAGCCACCTTCATGATAATTAAAGCAGCACTTTAATAACTGGAATTCGCATTTCATCCCCATCCCAAAAAGGTTAAGTTGAAAAATGTATAAAATCCACAATGCATCTATGGTATCAGACTGACAAAGTAAATTCTATATTTTATAAGCCCACAAAGAGCTAAATCCCTGAATAAGAAATAGTAAAATAACCTATTATTAAAATATTTTAAAGAATTTACATTAATTCTTTAAAGCAAAAAAATTATACCATTACATAAACTGCTAACTTAATCATACAGGGTCAAAACACTCAACAGACATTCGGTTCCACAAAGACTTTATTAGTCTGCCACTTTATCCTATAAAGCCACTTTATCATATAAAGCTATTTCGGATCTCAAGTTAGCCTGTGACACAATCAAATTTCTGATAAAATGACTGATCTAAATAAATTTAGTTGACAACAAAATTGATCTTCAAATCAAGACTAAGAAAACACTAGAAAGACTAATAAAGTTTTTTTTTTTTTTTTTGTCCTTTTTGAGACGGGCCGCACTGCGCTCAGCCAATGAGCGCTGTGAGTGCACCGGTCATCCCTATATAGGATCCGAACCCACGGCAGGAGCGCTGCTGCGCTCCCAGCGCCGCACTCTCCCGAGTGCGCCACAGGCTCGGCCCCTAATAAAGATTCTTTAATGCTCTCCACCATTCCCATGAAATCAACTAATTTACCCATTCTTTGCTCTTCATTTCCAACCTTCTCATTTACTTAAGGGGAATCTAAGTGATGAATCGTATCTGGTAACAAGTTGCTAAGGAAGTAAAAAAGGAAAAATACCAAGAAATTGCTCTCTTCAAGGGGTAGCATTAATGTTTTAACTTACTGAATATAAACAATATGGCCCTATGAACATTCAAAAACAACACCCAATATTTTAATACAAATAAATATATACAAAAATCTAACTTCCTGTATGATATTTTTAGAAAAATCCAAGTAGAAAGTATTGATATCAAAGTACCTGTCTAAGAAATTGAATACAACAATGAGTCAAGTATTTAGTTTTATTCTACATCAGTAAATTATCTGTAATTAGATATCAATACCATTTTAATGCAAATGTATAGTTGCAGTGTAAGAATACTTAACTGTAAAATGCATAACTGAATATGTGAATAAAACTTACTGTCATCCATCTGGAGACTTGGTGGGCAGTAGAATTTTTTATGGGTAATTAAATTTGGTAATCCTCTGAAGAGACTGCGGCATAATTTACATTCAAAAATAGTGTCCACATCTTTTAATAAAATATGCTTAAGTTGTTTAGTTCCTGAAGGAAAAGAGAAAGGAAAACAACACAAAAGGTAATTTTAACAATGCACTTTTAAACTGGGAAAACACTATTAACAATCCAAAAGTGCAGTTACTTTTCAAAAATAAAATATACGCATTGTCAATTTCTACCACAGTATATTTAAAACTAAGTTCTAAGCAAAATCCTACTATAATCTCGAAATTAGGACAGCTAAAATTGATGCCCTTTTACTACTTCAGAAGCCAATAAATTCTTGGGATACCACAAGGCAATGGTTCTGACAGGTGGTTGGTGGGATGAGAATAAAGATATACATAACTGTCCCCTAGAGATTCTGATTCAATACATCTCAAGTATGGCAGAAAAATTAAACGTTCCTCCACACTCCCTGACAAACTTTCTGGCTGGTTCTTCCAGCTCTTTTCTGCACTAGGATGTGAACAAGGAGTTTTTCAATACATTTTCCTCTGATTCCTTCAAGAGGGTCAAAACTGTATCACAGGATTGCCTGTGACTTTTCTTTTTAAATTCAACTCAAACTACTTCAGGTCCTAAGCCAAGATGAGACTTACAGCTGTTTAGTGTGATAGTAAGAAATTTTTGTCCATACTGGAAAATAACTTTGAATTTTGCTTAGGATTCTAGATAACACTATAAATTTATAAACTTATTCTAAGCCTTTCTCTCTCATAACACTTAACCCAATTGAAATTAATTAGGTATTCATATGATTACTAGTTCAATGCCTGTCTTCTCCATGAGATTATAAACTCCAAAGCAGCAAAGACCAAGCCTAGCTAACTTACAAAGTGTTCAGCTCTAAAATGCTCAAAAGTACTTGATGAAGAAATGCCACTGATCTAGATCTAGGGAATCTAAGCATTCTTGTAGAAAATCAAAAAACAGAGAAAAAATAAATGGCAACAATCATCCAATCTTTAAAATAAAAACATCCACCAGGAATAAAACATAAATGGAAGGTGTTCTGTCACTAATTTCAACAGGTCTCTGCCAAAGATAAGTTGACAAAATTGATCTGTAGTGCCACATTAATTATTGTGCCTTTAGTTTCCTCAAATAAAAAAAGATGATAATAGGGCTGGCCAGTTAGCTCACTTGGTTAGAGTGTAGTGCTGATAACACCAAGGTCAAGGGTTTGGACTCCCTTACCAGCTAGCTGCCAAAAAAAAGATGATGATAATATTGATTTAAAGAGAAAAAAGCCGAAGCCCCCTGAAAAATACCCTTAAGACTATCCAGGTGCAAAGTGTTCTGTCATTCAACCAACATTTGATTATTAAGCTCTGGGACTATTAAAGAGTATAAACTATCTTAGTAGTATAGCTAATATTGCAGAGTTTATAAAAGTTAAATATTTCTGATTTAACCTTTTACAATCTGTTTACATCTAGTTTTTGAAGTATATTTTATCATCATTTTGAAGACAGGTCAGCCTTCAAAATTCTACTGTGAAAAGACTGATTATCAGGTTATCAAAACTTTACTAAGTCTTTAGAAATGCCAAATCTGACATTATCTATATGTGTGACCTTAAAGAGATATATAATCTTTGCATTTTGGTTTCTCCATCTTGTAAAGTAGAACAAACCAAACCAAACCTACCTTAAAAGAATTATGAAAAAAATATATAAACCTAAATCCCAGGAAAATTAAATGATACACCTGAGTTTCTACTGGAAAAAAACATATATAATGAAATAATTTCCACCATTTCCCGAATCCAAGTCTACATTTACTCCACTAGACCCTATTACAGCAAAGTCAGGAAAAAAAAAACTTTCATAAAGAGAATAGCGTGTTATTCTTTATATGCAAGCAAATTATCATATGTATCTTTCTCTAATCCATTCTACATTATAAAATATCTTGGCAAAAGACTGCTAATATATTTAGTTCATACTTAACATCATACGTGATCGACAGACTATGAGAGGTAGACTGAGGACAAAAATGCTTTGGCTAAGCCTCTCTAATTGATCTATGTCTAGTCCTCAGGAAGTGTAGCTGAATATAATACTAGTGGGAAGAAAACAGGAAATTTTTGGATACTTTGATTCTAAATTAGAGGACTTGCTAGACTCAAACTAGAGATCCAATTCTGCCTTTAAAAATAGTCAAAAAGGACTGAACAGGAACACAGAAATAACCTGTACTGGGTTTAACTTAAAAATTCGACTAAAGATTTAAATAGAAAGTACATGGTAGCAGGTTGAAATAAAACAATCGGTCTGTAAACAACATAAGTTTATATCAAAAAAAGTCAGGTATAAAAATATAAGACTGCATCCCTAAATCAGACATAGCACTTTGTCTACCAGTTTCTCTCAATCATAGAAAAACAAAAACATTATAAATTTCTTAATTAGTCCTAGTTATCTAGTTAGCTATATTCAGTATGGAATGTATATTTATTCTCCAAAAAAAATTTTTTTTTTTGTCTTGTTCCGTGTCCGGCAACGGATCGCAACCCTCCGTGTTGCCCCCGCACCGGACCGGGGACCGGCAACGGGATTGCAACCCTCGGTGTCGCTCCCGCGCCTCGCTCAGCCAGTGAGCGGGAACCGGTCTGTATGTGGGATCCGAACCCTTGGGCGGGAGCGCCGCCGCGCTTCCCAAGCGGTGCACTTATCCAGTGCGCCACCGGGCCGGCCCCAAAAAAATTTAAAAAAAAAAAAAAAGACAAAAAAAAAAATTTTTTTTGGAGAATAAATATACATTCCATACTGAATATAGCTAACTAGATAACTAGGTCTAATTAAGAAATTTATAATGTTAGCGGTGCACTTATCCAGTGCGCCACCGGGCCGGCCCCAAAAAAATTTAAAAAAAAAAAAAAATTTGTTCCTAATCTTGACTAATCAACCTTAATTATCAATCACAAATGCTTCCCCTCTGTCACACACACAGTTCTTGTTAATCCAGGCATACCAAATTTATCTCAGGTCTGCAGATATACCAAATGTTCTCTCTCTCCCTCATTTTTCAGGCCTTCACCTATGTTTTTTTCTCTCGAATTACATTCTTCCACTTCTCTGGTCTAGTTTACTTCTGGCAACCCTTCAGATCCCAGGTTAGATGTCACTTCCTAGAAGCCTTATCTGATCCCTCCTGTTTTTTGTTAAGAATTCTTCACCTATACTCCCATAGCATCCTCTACCTATATACTAGCTTAACCCACTATCTTGTAATTAATTACTTTTCTTTTCCTCATTAAACTGGAGGATCTAGGAGAAAAGAGAAGATATCTTTGATGCTCACCATTGTATTCCCAGCCCTCAAGATAATGCTTGATTGACATTTGTTAAGTAACATATTGGAGAGCTCTATGTTTAAAAAAATCTTCTACTAAAATAAGATTTTTTAATGTATGTGAAGTTGACTGGGGAGTCAAAAAAGGGACTTCAAGATTTTCTAATTCTACTTACACATTTTACAAATGAGAAAAATAACATGTGTCCCATTCCATAAACACAGACAGTAAAAGATTTTCCCTAAGTTAGTTTCAGTCACCATGTAAGGTTTTCTTATGTTTTATCATGGACATAATAGCTTTATTCAAAATCAGCTACCATTTTCTGATTGTTTTACTCACTTACAATCAGACACAGCCAACCAACTATGCTTCTATCAATAGCTAAAACTACCTGTTCCCTGAGACAACCACAGACATGGTCACCTAGACAGCCAATATAAAGTTCTGCCACAGCTTTTGATCCTGAGAAACAAAGAACCATGCTGCCTTCCTCCTATTATTCCTTCTCCTCTATTGCTCTCTTTCTTGCCTTAGGTTTTTAAAGTATCTTAGAAGTCACTACTTAATGCTTACGTACATCACCAATCAGTATCTTTCAAAAAACCATCCCAAAGGAAAAGGATTTTGATACCTAAAGATTAACTGATTAGTGTATATCCCAGACTTTCACACATAATAGGTGCTCAATAAAAATTAGCTAAACTTCATCAAGGGTTTATTTTGTGCTGTTCCTTAATGGTAAAGACACTGCATGTACTAATGAAAATGTTTAAAAGATTTTTTTTTAAAGAAATCATTATTCAATTTTACATTAGGTTAGATGGCAGTCGCTATATAACATGAAAATATTCATTCTAACTCTTTCGTTTTTTTCCTTAACACACTGACATTTTGGTCAATGACCATTTTAAGCTGTGGCAGGAATTCTTAAATGGTATAATACTTGCCTATTGTTGGCTCACACATGAGCTCAATCTTCTTGAGGATGACCATTTAACCACAATATATATCATCCCAACACTGCAAGCAAACCTATGTTCCTTGTCAAATCTCCTGAAGGAAATTTCTGACTGATAATCCCTTAACATAAATACTAAAAGGTAAAAAGAAAGAAAACTTAAGAAAACTGAAATTCTTATCTTAAAACTACCACCTATAAGAGTTGGTAAAAAAAATTACTAGGTTAATTATGGAACATCGCCACATACTACAATAAATTTATAAGTAGAATAAAATTATTTTTAACAGTGAATACTTGGTGGATCTTTTAATTTAATCTAATAAATATTTATTGAGCACCTATTAAATACCAGGTATAATGTCATTCACTGGAAATATGAAAATGAAGGCTATGATCTGTGCCCCTGAGACAGTCACTTGAATAATATAAATGGCTGCTCTCCCAGGAACATAGCCTCAGATGACATGCTTTGAAGATGAATGTAAGAACAACAAATCAAACAAATCTACATTTTTTTATTCATCCAAAAAATATCTAGTCACATTTTAAATTTCCTACAATTGCTATGTAACAACCAAAAACACAATCCATCATAGAATATGGCACTCTCCCATGTGTCTCAAATAAATCATACTTCCATCCTAAGCTTTTGCCTACAAAATCAGGACTGAGGCATCACCATTCAGTCACAGCTTATAATAAATGCAATTAAAGTTGCTTTAAGCAGTAAAGATAAAAATAAGAAAAAAAACCAAAAGCAAAAACTTCTAAGATGTTAAATGGCCAAACCTAAATTTAGGAAGATAATGACAAAAGCAAACATCACGTAAAGCTAATTCTCATTTTTCACTACCATACTATAGAAGAAGAGTTACAATTTATTCTTCCCTAAGAGTCAAAAAAAAAATGTATAGTAATCCAGTATATTCTACATGTAGAATCTTTTTTCTATAATATTATACATTATCTCTTTTTATAATAATATATATTTCAAGAATTTAAAAAGAACATGTCACCTCCATATTAAAGACCAGTTTTGAATACTGAACTAAATGATTATCCTTCTCTTTTCCCATTTTTCTGTTTCTAACCTTAGAGCATTTCACATCTCCTTTGCCTCTTCCAGGCAACTAAGAGACTAAGAAAAAATACTAAAATCAATTAAATCACTTTATTAAATACCTAAAAGATATTTAATAAATATCTAAAGATAGTGCATCTTTTATTTGTTATTTAAATTTTTGTTTCAGTTTGAGAGGGAGGTCAAAGAGGAAGGAAGATAAACTAAAAGTGCTAATAGAAAGGAGGGAAATTCGAAGACACCAAATCACAGACGTGATCCTAGAAGGACTAACAGCCAAGGCAAGACTCTACAAAGGGCAGGGCATAGAAGCTACAGGTTCAGAGCAAACAACAGGTCTCAAGTCACCCAACCATCAGGGACCTAAGAGTAGAAAATCTGTAACCACACAAAAGGTAGCCTTCTAAAAAAAATGAGGCATCTATCTATAGACTGATATCTAACAACAGTTCAATCTACTGTTAATAAAATAAAGGTACACAAGAGCGTACAGAGACTGCTACCACTTGAATTGAGAAGAAAATAAGGGAATGTATCTGTGTATATGTATAAAAGGTCTTTGGAAGAAGACCCATAAGCCATTTATACAGCAGTGGTTGCCTAAGCAAAGGGGATATGGGAGACAGAATAGTAAAGAGACATACTTTTCCCTCTCTACTCTTTCATACTTTTTTTTTTAAACCACAGGCACATATTAGTGATTTCCAAAAGAAAAATTTATTTAAATTAATTTAAAAGTCAAGCAGCCAGAAATACAGAGATATCAGAAATCAAGAAAAATCTGTAATTTAAAGCTAGGAAAATACTCCAAAGCAAAAGCTGAAGTTTAAGGCCAAAAGAATGTGTTAAAACTGGTCAAGCAGTCAGTATAGTACACATGGGGTTGGTGAACCTTGAAAATGAGTCAACTCCTTCTGCAGAAGCCTTCTATGAACTTCTAGCTTGGGAAGGAATTAACACCAGGTCATGGACAGCCCAGTGTAGGCAGAAGAAGGTGAAACACTTAAATAGAGATGAAGCAGTAGCTGAAGAAAATTATCTGACCTTCAAAATAAAGGCAGACACCCCAACATGTTACTACTACCCAACCTGACTTCACCACTTTAGGTTAACAAGACCAAAAGCATGGACTTCAGAGTTCTATCTTCAAATATCTGTCAAAGTTATATAGCACCACCAGGATAGTTCTTTAAATGCAATATGTGTGACCTAGATGGAATGGAAAGAGCCTAGAAAGAGATGAGTCATTGAAGGTGTGCTTAGAAGTAGAGTGAGACATGGAGGAACTGACAAGAGTCTCAGAGTTAGTCCCTAAGTCATGTGGCCCAAACTTCCATCCCATCCTCCCAAGGTTTTAGTCAGCTTGGACTTAAATACCTTAGTGCTAAATAAGGGATACCTTAGTGGACTTTAGATTATCCACATATGTAAGAGATTAGTATCTTGAGGCATTTTAAATTTCTTAGTTATGGAACACAATAATAAAGTAAAAGAATTCTCTGTTTAATCCAAACTTAGTTTCTCTGTACCACTCAGCATATTTCTACTAAATCATCTCTTATTTAAACTGTTGGGTATTTAATTAAAATTATAGTATTTTCAGAATTTGTCTACATAAAAAATAATTCAAAAGGCAAATTTGCTGGGGACATTTGACATTTTTTTAAAAGCACATTTCAAAAAATAAACATAAATGACTTTGAAATTATACCCTTTCAGATTACCTATTTCACCGTCCCTCTTCTTTAGCTTAGATAGTAAAGAAATGGCAAACACAGAAAATAGATAATGACCACAATGCAATAAGAAAACAGTTAATTTCATCATTAAATATTTACCTTTCAAACTTTAAAAATACATAGATTTTGGGTACAGAATCTTGTTGAAAAGGTATTTTTTTATTAGACAGAGCATTTATGAATAAACCACTTCTAACTTTTTAATCAAATATCACTGTAATGAAGTGAAACTGTATAAAATAACTTTATTAATTACAAATTATGAATTTTTGAATAGAAACCTATAGCAAATATTACTAAATATGAAAAGCTATTACCTTCATTTCCACAGTATGAGAAAGGAAAAAAAAAAAAAAGAACTTCCGTCTCTATTCTAAAAGTAGCTAAAACAAATGAAAACTATTTTTCTGCTGTGCCAGAAATATAAACACTGCCCCTAATAAGTAAAATTTTATTTTAACTGTATTTATCATAGAACGTGACCTAAAAATTATTTAACCAAGGGCAATTATCAAAAGTAAAAAACAAACAACAAAAAATACCCTAAATAGGTTATCCACCATCCAACATAATGATAGGCACATGGTATACACTGAATACTTACTGAATTAAATATACCTATAAGCAATGCCATGAAGGCTGTAGATGAAAAGTCTAAGAAATAGATCTTGAAGACTCAGCGAAAAAAAACTTTTTAAATTTAGATTAAGGGACAATCTATTTCTTAGAATCCTAAAGTAAAGCAAATATGTGCTTTCTCCCTTTACAACTTAAAAACAAGCACCTCAAAAAATTTTTCATCAATACAAACAAATAGTTACATGAAAATTATCTTTTCCTTTCAACCTCAGAAATTTTTCATTAAGACAGTAAGCTATAAAATAATGACAAGATATTCTAATCCTTTAGGTGTCTAGCAGTCATGTTTATTTGCTTGTTCACATTTGACTATATAGTCTTGTAATGTCAGAAAAACCAAATCTATAAGAGGTGGACAGGTGTATCCTAAGAATCACGGCAACCTAAGACCTTACTGATAGCACAGGGGTTCTAACATATCTGAGGCATTTATATGTAGTAAATAACACCTATTTTAAAGCACTGGATTGCAACTACACAAATATAATTATCATATAGCTAATTCATATAATAATCTAATGAAATGAAAGCTAAACAAATTTATCTGAAGATGTCAGGGCTGAAATATGTCTTTTTTCTATCTTATGCTCTATTAAAGATATTGAACTATAGAAACTTCAGGGTTAGGCAGAAAGTGAGTCATAGAGAGATGATAAGTTAATTCATCTAAAACAGGTAACATTTCAGACATTCTGAGTAAATAACCTACAGTGCCAAAGCTTATAAAGACCCAGACTAATTTACTATCTTTTGAGAATTTATAAAGAACTTGCCAAAAGATAACAATGGATCTTGAAGAAGAGCTTCACCAGCAAATACCACATATTTCTTTAGACTATACTAAACAGATTTATTTTAAAACTAATACATAATATAGAGAATTGTAAAAGAATCTTCAGATCAAGTCAATATTTATTGAACTACTTTTTTAAAATATAACAATTAAAAGTATTCTATAAGTAAAACCAATGTATACATATTAATATTTTTAAAAATTACTTCTAAGGACTTCTAGGTATTTTTCAAGAATATGTGAAGATTGAAAAATACATCCTAAAACATTCATACCTGATCGAAAGCACTCAATTATTTGTTGAATACCAGATTTGGATGTCTGTAGTGGTTGCTGTAACAAAGGAGGATCTCCAGGTTCCAGGATATAAACTACATGGAAGACAAACACCCACCCCAATCCCCACAAAAAAAGGGTTATTTAAATCATTTACTATCAAAGTAAACAATAGTTTGCTGCAATTATGTTAATGATAATCAATCACACTTGCATATATTTTTTTCACCATTATCTTTGTAAGGCAAAATAAAACAATGAAGGAAAAAAACTAAAATTATTCTCAATTAAAGTCTAAATTAAGACTACTTAAGGCTAGATATTAGCTTTAAATGCAAAGACATAACTACTTTGCTATTATTTAGTGCACATTCTTCACGTTTGCCCTTTTTGTTCCCCTTGAAGAGGAACCACTATACTAGTATTTAACCAAAATTCCAAGGCAAGGGTGGCCTAGCCGCATCTCATAAACCATCCCAAAATCCTCTGGAATATGTAGTACAGCTCTCTGGACAACTATGAGAGCAAAACTTAGAAACCACTGCTTAAGGAAGTAATTGGACAAGTACACAATGATGAATGTGTAAGAATGTTCTCTGCAGCACTGTATATAATTGAGAGAAATTTCAAACAACTTAAAAGTCTGTCAGTAGGGACCAGACTAAATAAACTATGAAATGTCCATAAACTAGGATCTTTTCACAGCTGTTAGAAAGCATGAGCTAAACCTACGTGTACTGACAACAAGGACTGTCAATAAATGTGAAGTAACAAAAACATGTTATAGACTATGATCCCATTTACATTAATACATATTTAGATAGAAAAATACGTAAATTTAATGTATTTTTGAGTTTATGTACAGATGCTAACATAAACAAGAAAAAGTCTTGTTTATGGTATACCAACAACATTTAACAAAGGTTCTGTCAGAGTGGGTTTATCAGGATTATGTTCACTTTCTGCCTCACGCTTTACTTCTTCAGAGCATGTGCTTTTAGAATGTACATTTTAGAAAGAATACATTTTTTTATATTAAGTAAAAGTAATCTTTCCATTTTAAAAATAATTTTTATTTTCATATACAGAGGTCTATGTCATCCCTACTTTCCAAAATTCTCAGAGTAGCAGTATAAATAAATATACAATAAATTATAGTAATATGAAACAATGTAACTGAAAAGGAAAACTGAGTTTTTCCATCAGTTATCAAATAAAGAGAGGAGGTTTCAGTGGAAAAAAACTGGCCATTTTAATTACCTCTTTTTAAAATACGTTATAATGTTCTATTCAATTATTACCATCATAGTCCAGCACCATCCACTCAGTGTGGGGAGATAAGAAGGGTTACTTCAATAACATGAGCTACTACTGCTTCAGGGCTTAGGCTTGGACAACATTCAGCTGTCTGATAAGGGGGCTAAAGACTGCTGTGTGTATAGACACAGCCTTATATTCTCCTTTATACTTCAAGTCTAGTGCTCAGTGTACACAAACGGGAGGAACTATATCTCAGGACCAAGTCATTTCATTAAGTAAAATTTTTCCAATTTAACAGACACCTTAGTGGCATGTTAAACGAATTAAAAACATACAGACACACAACTCATTTTGAGAATAACTGATATTAGCACCAACTTCAGTGATTAGGAAAGAACATAAGACTCCAAACCTGGACTGCCTGTGTTTAAATTCTTTTTCTGCCATTTATACAACTAGGGCAAATTAAGCTCTCTGATCTCTCTTTTCTCATCTCTAAATGGGGATAATAAAAGTACCTAAGTCATAGGGTTGTGTCAGGATTAAATAAACTAATGCAGGTAAACTGCTTAAAACAGAGCCTAGGATATAGTAAAGGTTCAAAAAACATTCTATTATCATCGTCATCATCATAATCACGTGAAATTCAACTGCCTTCCTCAACACCAAAAACTGAAAATATTTTTTTTTAATTCTAAAAGTAGAATTCAGTCTCTTAAAGAAACAACAGAAGAGTTTGTAAACAGATTGATAATATCATCTATTTGAATTAGATGGATCTCTTTTCAGTATTCATACATTACAGCAACTGATAACTGTTTACAAAAAAATAACTATAAAAGAGACTGAAAACTCACATAATTGTAAAGAGTTAAATGCTTCAAGGTCTGGCTCTATAAGTGGCAAGAATTCCAGAACTGGAGAATGAAAAAACAAAAATGAATAAGGGAGGGACATGGGGAAAAACAGACTTCTCCTTAGAGCCCTGTTTCCTCATTTAGCTACACGCTCCAGAAAATCTTCTATAATACACCAACTTCCACTTCACATGACACAACTGATTTTAAAGCTAGAGCAAAATTTTCTTACCCATCACCCCTGAACACTGCTACCACCAGAACACATATACATCCTGAGACAACGTTCAAAATAAGCCCAGAGTTAGCTTAGCTGTGCCTGGACACATCCACTTGGTATACACATCTGTGTAGCTGCTACTGTAAGAAACAATTCTTTCTTCATTTGGAAACATACTCTCAACTCTAGAAAACTTTATATATTAGTTTTTTTGTGTGTGACCGGTAAGGGGATCATAACCCTTGGCTTGGTGTCGCCTGCACTGCGCTCAGCCAGTGAGCGCACAGGCCATCCCTATATAGGATCCAAACCCACGGCCTCGGCGCTCCCAGCGCTGCACTCTCCCGAGTGAGCCATGGGCTCGGCCCTATATATTAATATTTTATAAAATTTCTCTTACATATCCTATCATCACTCCCAAGATCAGACTGATCCAGGTTACATGACCATTTAGAAAAAAACATCATTTTCCTCCAACCAAAAAACTCAAACCCTCAGAACACCTTTCCTTCTGAGAACACACTTCCCAGAATAAAACATCCCCTTTTGTAAGAGTCTCTCCTGTCTTAAAACAAGCCCCTTAAAAGATCCTTCTTCTTAAGATGTTTGGGATTTGCTTACAAATAATAGGGGTTGAGAGAGTAGTTGGAGGGTAGAAAAGGGAATTATGGGGAGAAGGGAGAATATACATGAAAAGTGGATGTACTGATGGAGTTGTGTGATGGGTACATAAGGTTCCTTATACCATTCTATTTTTGAAGGTCTGAAAACTTCTATTAAAAACATTCTTTAAACATAACTAAAAAAATACTTTACATACACTGACAGGCTAATAACACCACCTTCACTATAAATTGACCCATCCCATCAAGGCACAACGGCCTCCTCTGGAATATGCTGCTCTCATCTGGAGACTCACCCACTGTTCACAATCCAAATGAGGATAACATACTCAGGAGAGGCCACTAAAAGAATTTCTCAAATATCATGTTGTCTTCTTCCCTCCATCTGAGGACACCCTCTTTTAAAAACTATCACACGAAAACATATTCTCTTCAGTCCTGGAAACATCCTCTCACTCAGCACATACCTTCCCCTGAAATAAGGACAATAAACTACCCTATAAGTTAACAAACTTCTACCTTTCTGTTGAACTCAATCCTCAGAAAGTGTTTAATTATAGCTAAGAATGCAAAGAAACAATAACTACTTTTGACCTGTTAAGTCTGAAAATTAACCTGCATGAAAAAAGTTTCCAGTAAAAGAAAGATAAAAATTTTAAATTAATGCAATTTATCTGATATCTTGGTAATGGGGGGGGGAAACGTTTCAAAACACATTAAAAAGTTCAAGAGAACACATCTCTAAAACGTCTTCAGAAAGCTTTAATTACCAGAATATACTAAATAAGGTATGGTCACAAATTATCTTGATTATTTGTTTCCTTGTTTATGTCTACCTCTTCGCACTCAAAAGTTTTATGAGTGAAGGACCTTATCTGTTCTGGTCACCACTTATAAACTCATTGCCTTGTACAGTGCCTGGTAGCTAATTGGCATCTACTGGTGTTCAATAATAATTTTTTAAAGAAATGAATGAGCAAATAAACTTCTTCCTAAATTCATTAACTAATTCAACTTAAATGACTTGAAGTAATCTCAGAAAAACACTAGAATAAAAGGTCAGTGGAACACAACTATAAAAGGCATTCACATCCTTACACTTCAAAACTAGCAAACTCCATTCAACATTTCGTAAAACATTACTAATATATCTTCATTTCAAATACACAAAATACACAATGTGAAAGGGTACTGAAAATTAGGGCAGGGACAGTTGAACAGAAACTGGATCCCATCCTGAGATTGCCTGTTTTATTAGCACAGGTGAGTCATTACTGATCTTAGCAAAGTACAGTAAAGACAGAACTTTAGTACAAATTTTATTCTCATATGTAGCAAAGTTTTCTGAAAATGGAAGTTTACTGTTGCCGTTTTCCCCATAATCACAACATTACTTAAAATGAACTCTACTATGTTAAAACCCAAGTACATAAATGCAGTTGAAACACTCCAGCGAAAAGCAAGTCAAAGTATTAAAAAAAAATCCAAATAATTTTTAGGTCAAAAATAATGATAAAATCTGCCTTTGAACTAGAACAGCATAGCCTTTATTTGGTTTTGTGACAATATGTTTTCAATGATTCTCTTTTAAATTGTACCTCTAAATGTTTGTCAGAAAGCATGTCAAAGCTCTAAGTAGAAAAACTGTCCATAGTTTATATATCCCATTTATCAAAGTTTGCTAATATTTTTCATGAGACTCCAGAAAACAACTTTTTCATTTCATAAATTCAACTACAAAAACAGTTCTACTGAATAAAATACCCTAAAAACACTTAGAATTCTAACTAATTAGATTTTTCTTTTATTTTGCAATACAATATGTTCTATCCAAGAAATTTTTTAAAAGGCTGTACTTAGCAAAACCTGATTCTCCCAACAAGTACGACAAACTTTTTATTTTCAGGCTTTCAGCACTGTTGTCTGCTAAAGATTCATGAGAAATTTTTAATTTTTTTAAACTTCAAGAAACAATATTAACGAAGATACATATTTGCTAGTATTCTACTACCTATCTTTTCCTCTCTCTTGAGTTTTAAACATTCACAGAGCAGGCTGCCTTCAAAGAGAAGGAAAAAGGACTGAGCGATTGATCTGGTGGAAATAATTTAAGGTGACACTGGCAGTACTCCTTTTTAAGGGATCAAGCAGGGGAGACCTCTTGTTTGTACAAGCTTTTAGCTTCATAACTGGTGTTATGCTGGGGAAAATTATAGCCTGCTTTACTTGGGAATGACTTCTTGGGCAGGAGGAAAAGAAAACCAGACGGAAACAGAAGCACAGTGGCTCTGATGGAGGTCAAAGTAACTGGGGAAGAAAAGGGGTATACCTGGTTCACAGCATCCGTGATGATGGTGGTCAGTCTGACAGTATTTGTCCCTTAAAGGCATTTTCAGCGGGCGCGACCTACTTTCCTTTCACTGTAAGAAGCTCTTCATTGCGGCTTGGCTGTTGAAAGAAGCACAAACCCGTCACTCACCCCGAACTTCCTGGGGAGCTCTGGCTGCATTTTCCAGATACGTTTAAGTTCCCATCACCCACCCACCGATTCTCCACGAACTCGCACCTTCCTCGCGAAAAGAAAACAGAAAGACGCACGAAACCCTTCTCCAGCCCGAACTCCGCGCACAGGTTCATCGCCCTACCCGGAAACGCAGCCTCGGGCGCGCAGCGCAGGACGAAGGCCTGGCCGGCGGCGCGGGCTGCGGCGGCCTCGCCGTCCCGGGC